TCTTCGCTTATTAAGTAATAATTTAATATAGAATAGCTAAGTTATAATAGTATTCTTCGCTTATTAAATAATAATTTAATATAAAATTATAAAGAGTATATAATATAAGATCTTAGAGAGCTAAGTCGTATTCTTAATAATAATAATCTTATTATCGCTTAGTTTCTCTATAATATTCTCTATATTTATCGATTATAATTTCTTCTTTTACTTCTTAATATAGTAGAAATAATAAATTAAGTTATAGTAATATTCTTTATTTATTAAATAATAATTTAATATAAAATAACTAAGTTATAGTAATATTCTTCGTTTATTAAGTAATAATTTAATATAGAATCGTAGAGAGTATATAACGTGGGATCTTAGAGAGCTAAGTCGTATTCTTAATAATAATAATCTTATTATCGCTTAGTTTCTTCGTAATATTCTTCGTATTTATCTATTATAGTTTCTTCTCTTACTTTTTAATATAGTAAGAATAATAGATTAAGTTATAGTAGTATTCTTCGCTTACTAAGTAATAATTTAATATAGAATAATTAAGTTATAATAATATTCTTCGCTTACTAAGTAATAATTTAATATAAAATTATAAAGAGTATATAACGTAGGATCTTAAAGAGCTAAGTCTATTCTTAATACTAAGAATCTTATTATCGCTTAATTTCTTTATAGTATTCTTCGTATTCGTCTATTATAGTAATTTTTCTTATACTAGCTAAGTAAATTAATATAAGATTATAAAGAGTAAGTCTATTATATTACTACTACTAATAACTATCTTTATAATATTCTTCGTAATATTCTCTATATTCGTCTATTATAAATCCTTCTCTTATTTAACTAAGTACGAGAATATCGAGAATAAATATATTTATATTAGTGAAATTAATAGAATTAATAGAATTAATAAAATTAATAGAATTAATAGAATAGTAAAAGAAGAATAGTTATATAAATAGATAAAAGAATTATTATTTAATCTCGAACGCGTTTAATATAACTATAATATTTAAATATTAGTTTAATTTATCTATCGCTAATTTAGAAGAAGTATATAGAAAAAAACGTATTCGTTTAAACTCTTTTAAAGGGTTTTTTAATACGTTTATAAGTAGTAGTAGATAGCTATTAAGCTCGCTTATAGCCTCGATTATTAATAATAGCGAATTTATTAAGAGATAGTCTAGAGGCGTTAATAAGAGACTCTAATTAAATAAGAGATATTAAAAATAATTATATTTATATTAATAGAATTAATAAAATTAATAAAATTAATAAAATAATAAAAGAATAATAAATAGATAAAAGAATTATTATTTAATCTCGAACGCGTTTAATATAATTATAATTACTATATTTAAATATCTATTTAATCTATTAATAGTAGATTAAACTTTATAATTTTTATAGCGTTAGAAAGCGTAAAGCGAGTTTTATAATTTAAGAAATTATAAAGTAACTATATATATCGTAAGCTAAGTACTTTAAAGTATAAAACTTCTATATATAAATTTTTAATAAGGGAGATATAAAAGGATTATCGGGCTAACTTAGCCGGTCTAATTAAAAAGCGTATAGAACTCGAATTAATAATTAACTATATATATAAATTTAAGATTTTCAAGCTTAGTTCTATCTTATTCTATTATATATACTAATATCTAGAATAAATATACGAGTAAAGATTTATAAATTAAATTTATAATTATTTTTTAATTAGAGCTATCGAGTAAATTTAATAAGCGATCTTTAATAAGCGATATTTAAATATCTTATCTTTTAATAATTATAAGATTAAATTTAAGAATTCTTTTTTATCTAAAAGTCTACATTTTATTCTATAATTTACTTAAGAAATTTTAAAATTATAATAGAAAATAAAAAAGTTATTTTAAAATTAAATAATATATATCTATTTTTTAATTAGAGCTATCTCGCTATCGAGCGAACTTTAATAAGCGATATTTAAATTTCTTACGCTTTAATAATTATAAGATTATATTTAGAAATTTCTTTCTTTATCTAAAAGCCTATATTTCGTTCTATAATTTAAAAAAAAAATCTTAAAATTTTAATAGAAAATAAAAAAGTTATTTTATATATTAATAATATATATTTAATTTTTAATAAAAAAACGCGAGAGGGCGAGATTTTAATAGTTATAGACGCTAATTTATTAGTATATATAAAAGAATAAGATAGAGCTAAGCTTAAAAATCTTAAATTTATATATATAGTTAATTATAAATTTAAGATTATTATATCTTTTAGCTAGACTAACTAAGTTAGCTCGCTAGCCCTCTTAAGCTTTCTTATTAAAAATTTATATATAGAAGTTTTATACTCTAAAATAACTAGCTCTCTATAAATACTATTTCTTTATAATTTCGTAAATTATAGAACTTAGTATACGCTTTCTAACGCTATAAAAATAATAAAGTTTAGTCTACTATTAATAAATTAAATAAATATTTAAATATAATAGTTATAATAGTTATATTAGACGCGTTCGAGATCGAATAATAATTCTTTTATCTATTTATTATTCTTTTATTATTCTATTAATTCTATTAATTCTATTAATTCTATTAATTTTATTAATATAAATATAATTATCTTCGATATCTCTTATCTAATTAGAGCCTCTTATTAACGCTTTTAGATTATCTCTTAGCGAATTTATTATTACTAATAATTAAGGCCGTAAGCGAGCTTAATAGCTATTTATTACTACTTATAAACGCGTTAAAAAACTCTTAAAAAGAGCTTAAATAAATATATTCTTCTTTATATACTTCTCTTAAGCTAGCGATAGATAAGTTAAATTAATATTTAAATATTATAGTTATATTAAACGCGTTCAAACGTTATATACTCTTTATAATTTTATATTAAATTATTATTTAGTAAGCGGAGAATACTACTATAACTTAATCTATTATTCTTACTATATTAAGAAGTAAGAGAAGAAATTATAATAGATAAATATAAAGAATACTATAAAGAAACTAAGTGATAATAAGATTATTATTATTAAGAATACGACTTAGCTCTTTAAGATCTTACGTTATATACTCTTTATAATTTTATATTAAATTATTACTTAGTAAGCGGAGAACATTATTATAACTTAAGTTATTTTATATTAAATTATTATTTAGTAAGCGAAGAATACTACTATAATTTAATCTATTATCTCTACTATATTAAGAAGTAAGAGAAGAAACTACAATAGGTAAATGCGGAGAATACTACGAAGAAACCAAGCGGCAATAAGGCCATCATCGTCAAGAACACGGCTTAGTCTCTTCAAGATCCCACATCATATTCAGTTATCCACTCAGTTAGCCACTTAGCTAGCCACTCAGCTAGCCACTCAGCTAGCTACTCAGTCTAATACTCTACAAGAGAAGGAGCAAGAGAAGGAACTATAACAGGCAAATGCGGAGAACACTGCGGAGAAACCAAGCGGCAACAAGGCCCCCAGCACCAAGAACACGGCTCAGCTCTCCAAGATCCCACCTCATATGCTCTCCACGGTTCCACATCAAATCATCACTCCGGAACGATGCATATTTGGACGAATTGAAACCGTCCGATGTCTTGCTCTGACAGCTATTTCATTATTCGAAAGATTTCACTGCGGTAGGAGATAATGTGGGATTCACACCACTAATTGGCATGTTGTCTCTATTTCTTTCCGATATTTCGATACTTCTTATCATAAGAACATAGTCTTTCTCTATTTTTTATAGGCAATTATTACGGATTAATTCTCTACACTCGATATACCTTCCTAATTAGGCCTTAGCGCGCCTCTCTCCGTATATATATATCTATATGTAGGTTAAAAACGCACAGCAAGCGATTAGAGTTCGATTTAACTTAGAAAAATCCAACTCTATAAATTTAATTCATAGGTCTTTACTTATTTATTTATAATAACTTAGTCGATCTAGCTAAAAAGCGTAGAGAACTTAAATTTATAATTAGCTATATATATAAATTTAAGATTTTTTAATTTAGCTTTATCTTATTCTTTTATATATATTAATTATTATAATAAGTATATAAGAGAAAAATCTATTATATCGATTATAGTTAACTAAATCTCTATAGATAAAAATTATCTATTAAACGATATATATTTATTTAAATAAATTAAAATTATTCGATATCTTATTTCGATAGCTATTTTATTATTCGAAAGCTTTTACTATAATAGAAGAACTTATAAGATATCTATTATTAATTAATCTAGTATATTTAATTCTTTTCGATATTTTAATAGTACCACGTCTGAAAACAATGGGACTTCGAAGTGCCTTTTTTTTGTTTAATGTTTTTTCAGTCGTGGTTTTTTAATAGATTCTATAGATCTAGTAGCTAAATAAGACTATTCTATTACTTCTACTACTACTACTATTACTATTACTACTTATTAATAGTATTATTACTACTATTACGATTCTTTATATATCTATATTCTTCTTAACACCTTCTATTCTCCTTAATACCTTTTAGTTTCATATAGCGTTCCTTTATAAAGGCCTTATGAACTGCTAGCCACTTTCTCGTTTTAGAATATCTTCTACCATGTCTTCTAAGGCTGATAAGAAAGAGATTGAATACCTTACGTCTCTGTATCTTCTTATTAGATAAGCGAGGTATAGTTGCTAATAGTAGAAATAATGGCTAATAGTAGTGTTAAGTAGAATACTCTATGACTATATACGAAGAAAGCTACGGAGCATTCTCGGAAGCTAGGGCTAGGGCTATATGTGGCAAATCTATCATAAAACCACAGAAATGGCCTTATTTTTATATGTGGGGTCTTCAGGTGTTCAGGCCTCCTGAAAAAACCACTGCTGAAAGTCTGAAAACCTGAAAAACCACAGCAAAAAAAAAGTGGCCTGAAACTCCCTACTGTCGTGCGCAACTCTTCTCAATCAACTACGCTCGTAGTAGCTTCCAAGCTTCAACACAACACGGTGATGAGCGGACCCGGTTTGGGTGCCAATGAAGCGGAAGTTTCACAACGTGACAAAGTATAACCGTCACTCACCGCTGATTTCCCTCACCTCAGACACTGACTGACCTTCTCTCGTAGGCTGACTATCGTCTACCTTGTTCAAACGACAACGATCAAGACCTCTTCCCTCCTTCGCCTCTCCCTGAATCGTTACCTTCAACTCAAGACGCTCTCCCCTCAGCGTTCTCAACCTCCGTCGAGGAATGGATTGATCGGATACTCACTCCCCCAACCTCTGAAGCTTCCAGCTCTTCTACTACCTCCCACAACACCACATCCACATCTTCCAAGCGGAAGCGAATTAGTTCCACAGACTGTGACGAGCTCATCGAGCCGCATACCTTGGTCCTATTATCCAGGAGGAACCTCCAAAGACATTTAGCGGCTATGGCACCTCCAACCACTTCCCAGACGCCAAAGAAGGGCGGTGCGGATACGTTCTCTAACAGCACTCAAGGCACGCCAAATGACAAGCGCACACTCCCCAAGGGACCCTCTTGGGTGAGGGAGTGTCAGAAAGGCCACAACATTTTCCGCGAACATGAGGTCTTTGACTGTGAGGACTATAAAGATTTCAAGCAGCTTGTGTCGGCCCCCTTTCAAGGCGATCGTCATTCTGCCGTCAAGCCATCCTCCGCTCAGAAATTCAAGGAAGTTCATGATTATTATAAAGATCTCAACGAGGCGGGGTTCAAGACAGAAATGCTGCGATTGATTGTGAAAATAGATTTTGAGATTCAACTCGAACCGGCAACGGAAACGAGTCGGGCTATCTACGGACCAAGTGAGAGCTGGAACAAAGGCCTTCGCGTCCAGTATAATCAACCTGTTAATCGTGGCCACATTCCTCACACCTACACTGATCCTCAATTCGACCAAAGAAAGGTTCGGGATGCTTTGAAGAAGGAGGGTATGTCAAAACGCAGAGCCGGACGCAGTGTGGGGCTTTGACCCGAAGAACATGCCTAATTTTCAGTTCCATCCCGACACGCGCGAGCTGATGCTCCTTCTACCAAAACTGAACTGGCCATTCTTTGTCATGCAGTCCAAGCAAGCAAACGGCAACTGGGAAGATGCCTGTAACGAGGCGACTCGCGATGGCATTGCCATTGTCAGCGCCGCGCGAGAGCTCTGCGAGAAGGCTGCCATCAATATCAAGACTCCTGGGCCCGATGAGAACACTTACGTATACTCAGCTGTGATGGACACCAAAGTCATGGAGTGGTACGTGCACTGGGCGGAAGTTACGGACAGTGGTTCACTACTCACGACGATGTTTTTTTTGGTACCTTTTTTTTC